TCTCAAAAACTATGCATTGCACTTTGTGCAGATTTTGCCTACATCGTCTAAAATTTGCATGTAAATTTATTTTTACTTGCTTTGATGGGACCCCGACGGGTCTTTAATAAAATAATTGAAATTGAAATTGAAATTGAAATTAGTGGAGCTGGCTCTAACTTGTGAGGTCCCCGGTTCGAACCCCAAGTGCGCGTTACTTTAAAACACATGTGTGGACTCCAACATTCTGGATAACTTTTCTATATACACAAAGAGCGCAGGCTTAAGTATGAAGAAAAGGCTTTCATGACGATGTTTCGGTAGAAAGTAACTTCATATGGTATGGTCGAGAGGCTTCCGAGGGCAGAAATTTAGACAAATACTTTGAGACGATGATGAAACAATGTCTAATAGTGGAAAAGCAACTCAGCCTTTGTAGAAGCTTCGGATGTATTGTTCTGCATATAATCCGTCTGTCTGGGCTTGCAAGTTTTAGAAACGAGCACGGCCGAAATCGGAGTACTGGGAATGTGCTGCAGAAGACTAGTTGGGAGGAAGATGTTGATGAGTCGAGTTTAGGTCTTAATTCCGTCTTAATTGAGGCTCTAAGAGCGTACAGTAAGTCGAATTCTCGAAGAAACTAAATTCCGAGAGAGGGCGAAAATTTGAAACCAAATTCGAAGCGCGCGCGCCAGATTCAGTAAATATTTCCGAACAAAGGCATTTTTTTAGAAATGGGGTCCAATCCATTATCTTGCTAAAGAGCTTACACATGCAGCCGTCAATCCGTTGAATTAAATGACCATCATGAGTTTGTGGCGATTAGCTGGGAGAAACAACATAAACTTCATTAGGAAATACGACAGTTCTATACGAAGGAACGATGGCAATCCCAAATCGAAATCCCGAAACCAACACAGTCCGAAAAATGTGCAGCACAATGTCAATATATGTATGGTTGTGTCCTAGAAAAGGCTCAAGTAAAGCACAAAGATAAATCTCCTCTATTCATTCAAACCTTCAATAAAGAAGTTGATTCATTCCAATGCTAAAACATTCACTTGTTGTTGATGTCCAGCGTACGAGGATTTAAACAAATAAAGGGATCCTTACGCTCGGATGCCTTTTCATAATATTTTCAAGATCGTCGACGCAGTACCGATGCTGGCGAATATTATTCGACGTTTTCACAGATATTAAGAACTACTAGAACTAGAGTTAATATCTGACGGGTGACAGCTAGCGTGGATACATCCAACATACAAAAAAATTTCAAAGAAGGCGGACCTTAGGGCTAGACGGCTTGTCGATTCCATACTAATCCGAAAAACTCGGGCCAGTGTTGTTTGAATCGACTATTTAGTATGCCCAAAGTTAGGGTAGGCAAATAGTCGCACTTACGAATTCGAGCCCTGTGAAATGCATGAATCGTTCTAGAAGTATTCTAAATTCCACTCAGCGTGCAAAATGTGTGACAGCGATTCCGGCTTGTCGATCAGCATTAATGGAAGCAATAAAGATGTGGCGTCCAGTTCAGGGGGAGTTGCGTTTATAAAAATAATTGTTCCATCTGTAAATCTTGAGGTAAGGATGCCGCGTTTCAGCAGTATTCAATGTTTTTATAGAAAGTTTATAGTTTCCAACCGACAGAAGTCATATCGGATATAAAAGCGGCCGTTATCACTGATCTTTGTCTTGATTTCCGGGAAATTTTTAATTACGGCTTGTTTCTTCCCCCTAATAACGGGAAGGCTGGCAAATTTCTCCAAGAAGACAGACTTTTAAAGGATTATCCCTTTCCTGCTTCCGTAGGACATTTAGAGGTTTGACCTTTTAACATGTCTTACTGGAATAATGTTGCAGTTTAAGTACAAACAGCGAATTTACCGAAGTCTTCCTACAAATGTCAACAAGCTAAGAAAACTCAATTCGAAGGTACTTATTTTATCTGATCTAAAGTACTATCATTTAATGCTGGGCGTTACTTTCTTGTTCAAAAGTTGTTTCAATTGCACAGGACATATTCTATTTCCATGCAGAAATTGGTCAAAACCCACTACACATTCAACTGACAGTCCCACTAAAAATAAATTACTTTTCCTGGAATCCGAAGACTTCTAAGTAATTAAACGTTTCTCCGTCATATGTTTCACTAGATTTTCGGCAAAATGCAGTAGTTTTGAGTACAAGAGCAACAACTATCAGAATCGTCACCATAGGAAACAGTTGGCAAAGTTTAAGATACCTAATTCGCTGAGAAATAAATACTTGGGAAGGAGAGGAGATGGCATGAGGAAAAATGGTTATATTCAGGCTAAACAAAAGTATTTGCTTTGCAGAGCACATGAAGATGACCATCACTTACGAGCTTGCGTAAACAAGTAAATACGATCCAAGCACATATGTACACTAAAGGCCTTGGATTTGAGGTGAAGAGTTTGTAGCAAAGCAGCAAAAAATGTGTTCAAAGAAGATCAATCATTAGGCATCCAAAATCCAGTAGAGAAGCACAAGACTTCTACTACTGATAGCTTTAGATTCGTGGGATGCGCGTTGGGTGTGTAAGGATGTGCATTTACGTAGGTGCACAAAGCTACTATGGTAAATCGCCAGACAAAATAGCTGAATAAAACTGTTTAAACGTATGATTTTATCCGCAATTACTGGGTTTGTTTGTTTTCAAACGATTCACAGCTTTTTAAACAATCTAAGAGCACTTTGAATTGTTCTTTACGTTTTACTTGCGTGGGCTGATACAAATATTTCAAAGGGGGCATCTCCTGCTTAAATACCTTTTTGAATCCTTCAACGGCGATTTTACAAATTTATTTCTGATACGGTTTTGTCTGCCTTTTGTTTCTACCTTTTTATGAAAACCAACGTGCAAATGCGCATCTTTTTTAGAGCAA